GACAATGTCAAGGCTAGGCACCTCTCAGCTCACCCTCAGTCTGTCGACATGGTGGTGCCGACAGTCTCCTCCTTGGAGGCTGCAGAGAGCTGTGATGTTTGCGATTTGTTTGGTTCCTTGGGCGTCAGGTGGTGCTTTCAAGGAAGAGTGCTTGCTGGCAACAATACCCTTGCCGACTATGGGATTGATCATTTGTCATGTCTGGAAGTGTCGCCTTTGCTCAAGGGCGGTGGCGTCATTGGCAAAGAGGCCAGAAACAAGCTGCTCGCCATCTTGGAGAAACACGGCAAGTTTGATCGTGCCAGACCTGCTATCGACGAATTGATTCACAAGGTCGCCCCGGATGCCCTCAAGAAGCTTGCTGAGGACAAGGCGACCACCTTTCGTGATATCATTAAAGTTGCCAATAGCTGCTCCCCGCCAGTGGCATTGAGCTCCAAGTTTCGTCCGGACGAGCTCCCTCCCGCCGCCTCTGCTGGTGGGGGTAAGGGCATGGGCAAAGCGACACGGGGGAGATCTACGCCAGCTACTGCCGCGGCCCCGTTGATGATTGACGCTGCTGCGTTGCATGATCTCCAGGTGTTGTGTTCTTTGAAGAAGACGGTGGGGCCCCGGCCTTCGGGGGTCTTCCTCGCTGATTGCAAGGACGCGGAGGCGCTACTCGACGACCTGGCTTTGGACCCGTGGCCTACCCCGTTGGTGGTACTTGTGGCTGGAGGCCAGCGTGAAAACCGTCGGCATTGGACAGATGTGGAGGCCTTGGCGAAGGGGGTTGAGACCTTTCTGCCCATGCGCCAAGGTGAGCGAAAATTCGTGCAGAAGCTGCTTGCATTCCAGGCGGGTACGGGTGCTATTGAGCTGCCTCAAACCACGGTTTTCGACATTGGTGCGGAGATGGATTCTTTTCAGACTTGGTCCATGCAAGTGCGCCAGTTCTGGGCGCCACCAGCCGTTTGGGATGCCTGCGACAAGGCCCGACAGCCAACGGCCAAGCGGGCCGACAAAAAGGTCCCCTCTGCTAAGCTTATCTCCGAGCTCCTGTTGACGATCCTCCTCAAGAAGCTGGGTGAGGGACCGAAGCTGGAGATTGAAGCTTGGAGTGGACGGGTCACGGGTAACATTGCGGACTCCACTGGATGCTTGGACACCCTCCTCCGCATCCCCAGGGAGATCGAGGAGCAGCTTCGCCGTACTTCTGGTGCTGATGGTATCTTCTTTGAGAAAAAGTTCGCATCGGACCAGGCACGGGAGGAGGAGCGTGCGCTGCGGCCTCTCGTTGCCGTGACGGGTGCAACCTGGGATCGTGATCAAATCCAGTCGGTCCTCAACACCACGACGGGTGCCGAAGGCTTTGAGGTTTGGGGAAAGCGCCTTATGCTGAGGGTGGATGCGGAGCATGAACAGCAGGTGCGCATCGACTTGACTGGTCGTTCGTCTGCCCCGTCTACCCGGATCTGGAAGATGACTGGTGTGCCTTTCATGAAGCCCTGCCAAATCCTCACCTTTTTGGCGGATCGCGTCCTTTGGAAGGTCGAGGAAATCGTCTCGGTTCGCCGCAAGGAGGTCACTTTGCGCGCAGAATTGCCACCTCCTGATGCCCACAAGTGTGGTGATCAAAACCTATGGTCTTTCGTCATGGGCCAGGACCCGGTGAACATCCACGAGGTGCTGCCGAAACAACGTCGACAGACCCCCGCTAAGCAGGTTGAGATCCCATTTTCTACTGGTACGACGCCGCCCTTGAATGCATGGAACAACCTGCTCACGCCGATCGTGCGGCCAGCAGCTCTCGACCTCGAGGCTGAGCGAATGCAGGAGGACGAAGACGACTTCAACTCGGAGATCGCGGATGTGAGGCCCCCTGCCGATGCCGCTGCCCTTTTCCTTCGCACGCAGGCTTCTCCTGGGACTGCGGAACATGCGCGACTGGAACGTGTCGCCCGCCATTTCGCGGCGGAGGCTGAGCGCACCCTGGAGCGCAACCTTGACCGCGCCTTCGATGATAGATTCTTGCAGTTTGAGCGCGCCATGCAGGCCAAGCAAACTGAGTGGGAAGCCCTGCAGGATGACAAGATGAAAGCGCTCCGCACGGACTTCCAGGATGCACAGACTGTTTTGCGTCAGGACCTGCAAAAATCTCAGGCGGACTTGTACGCTCAGACACAGCAGGAGTTTGTTGCGGTTAAGGATGAAGCCTCTGCTCGGCACAACGACCTCATGCAACAGATGACGGTGATGATGGGCCTTCTCCAGGCGCAGAATACTGCTCCTGGTGAAAAAAGGGCGGCTCCTGAGGCCTTGCCAAATCCGGCCGCGGCTGCCAAATCTAAGGTTGGGCCGACTGCGGGAGCTTGACTAGGGACCTGGAGCCCTTCACTCAACAGTGTTGATGCTTCACTGGATGCTGGGATTACTTGTCCTGCGCTTGATGTTTCTATCCATGCCCCTGAGATCCTTGTGCAGTGTGGCGATCTCGAGGTGCCAGATGTTTCGATGCCATGCTGGCGGCCGGCTCGTGCTGCCTCGCGGCCTCGCTTTGGTTTTGACGGCCTTTGCTCCTCCAGCTTTCCTTCTTCGATGGCGCATTGGCCCCCTTTTTGCCCTGGTATGGTGCATTCTTCTGCTTGCGACAGTCAGTTGCAGAGAGTTCGCCATCAGAGGGGATCTATAAATTCGTTTGCTATGCGCGGCAGCTGCACTTCGTGCTCTTCACGGCGACGCTGGACAACAGTGCATAAACTGTGTGGTTGTGGGGACTCCCTTCCCCCTCCAGTCCTTCAGCCGACAGGATATACTGCTGGCAGTGGCTCACCCTGCTCGCGCTGGGCTCGCACAGCTGGATTACTCCTTGGATTGCTCTGGGTTGTGATCTTCGTGCTTGGCTTCGTCGGTGGTCTTCGTCGGCACCCGCTCTTCTTCAACGGCCAATTGACTTGCTTCTTGGCCCGGATTGGTGAATTCTTCTGCTTGCGACAGTCGGTTGCGGAGTGTTCGCTAACGACTGGGATCTTTGAGCTTGTATGCTCTTCGCGACTCTTGCTCGGTTTCTCCATCTTCTGCGCGGCGCCGTTGGGCATCAGTGCACAAACTGTATGGTCATGCGGGCCCTCCCCAGGGCGTTGCTGCAGTGGAGAGTGTGACGTTCAGGCCTCGGTTTGGGCTCCAAAAACGATGTTGGTTGGGGCCCATTTCTGGCCGTGGTTTCGTGGTGCTGGTCCCCTCCTTGGAGTGCTCCTGGCCGTGACCTTTGCGTATGGCTGCGATGGTACCTTGGTTCCGTGGCCTGCCGGTCTGGACGGCGTGCGAATTGGCGAGGCTCACAACCCAGGCCACCGCCGTCGGGCAGCAAAGGGCCATTCCTTGGCAATGTCTATCTCCAACTTGCGCCTCCGGTCCCACAACTTGGGGGGCATTCGTCATTGGGAGCGCAAGCAGCGCCTTTGGGATCCGGATGCCAGCCCGGATGTAGGCGCCTACCAAGAGACCTGGGCTGATGCCAAGGATATCCTTGACACGACGCGCCACCTTGAAGAGCGTGGCTATCGCAGTCACTGGAGTGCACCGGGCCCCCCACGTGGCCAAGGAAACGGCTCCTTGGTCACCGCCCTTCGGCCGATTGTTGCCCGTCCCCTGTTCGACGGGCATTTTGACACCGAAGCCGCCCATCTCTGGAGTACCACTCGTGTTGCAGGGGCCTGGGTCGAGACTCGTAAAGCCAACGATGGCATTGGTGTCATCTCCTTCTATGGGATCTCGGGCGGCAATGCTGATGCCGGAAAGCGTGGTCAAACTGAGCGCTTACTCACTGCACTCATGGGTTACTTGGGGCCATTTTTCCAGAAGCCACTTTTCATTTGCATGGATGCAAACCTCACGCCGGACCGGAGTGAGGTGCTGACGGCTTTGATGCGTTTGGGCTGGGTGGACGTGGCGGCTGGCCTGGGACCCACCTTTCGCCTTGATCCATCCAGCGATGAGGCCAACTCCAAGATTGACTATGTCTTTGCAAACCCTGAGGCTCGGAAGTTGGTTGATGGTGTTGAGCTTCACTGGGTCCCGGGATATCAACATGCTGCGATTGACATTTCGTTGCATCTTTCTCTGTCTACAGGGCCTGGACATCGTTTGATCACACCACGCCGTTTACCGCCCCTGGACCCCTTGTGCGCGGGAGATGCTGAAAAGTTTGACCTGTGGGCTCACACTCACTGGCAAGAAGGTTACGCGGCTTCACACTCTTCACTGCTGGCGGCGGGGGACACTGAGGCTGCTTGGCAACTATGTGAATCTTTTGATGCTGCCTGCCTACGAGCTCGCCTGGAACATGCTGGTCTTGCCGACTCTGGTGAATGCAGCGGGAGGGGTGGAGTGCCCAAAAAGGCTTTGATCCGACCGTCTTGTCGTCATATCAGACCACAGGCGGGCCCGCATGACGCTTTGTGGCACCGTTTTGAACAGTGGATTACGAGACTGCAGGAATTGCGCTCGCAAGACTCGCTGGAGGCCCAGCTGCTCTTTGCTACTCTCTGGCGCATCGTCTGCTCCCGCTTCTCGGTATTGGTTGCCAGCCTTTGGGACGAGGAACTTGCTTTGCATCCTGCCTCTGATGATGGATGGCTTGATCTTCAAGCGAGACTCACTTTGGCTCGTCAACGTCGGGCTGCTGCCGCTGCTGAACATGCTAATGCTGCAAAGAGTAAGTGGGCCAATGCCATGCGGAAGCTTCCTGCTGCTTGCAAATATCTTAAGGGCACTACTTGTTCACGGACTGGCCACCTTGTCGACAGGGAGTCGGGCGAGATTACGGTCGTCGTTAGCCGCATGCACGATATGCTCTTGAAGGCGTGGCAGCCCCTCTTCCAGCTCTATGCGGATGCCCCTGAACCCACTTGGGATGCCTTCCGTGCAGAATACAGTGCCGAGTTAGACGGTTGGCGCGCGCGATGCCCCCAGGACCTCCCGGCTGACGCCCTCGAACGCGCAGTTCGCGGTCGCAATCCTGCTAAAGTCGGTGGCACTGACGGCTGGACCACTGCTGAGGGCCACCTACTGCCTACAGCTTCGTTTGCTGCGCGCCAGTCTTGTCTGAATGCAGTTGCGGACGGGGCCCGATGGCCGTCCCCGCTCCTCTTTGGCACTGTGCCCATGATGCCCAAATCTGACACCGGTTTTCCTGAGGATCAGCGTCCATTGACTTGTTTGTCTTTGTGGTCTGTGAGTTGGGATAAGGCCATCTACAACTTGTCCAAGAACTGGCTCGATGAGCTCTTGCCATGTCAGATGCGAGGTGCCAGGCCCGATGCTATGACGATGGACATTGCGTGGGTTGTCACGTTGCTTTTTGAGCATGCTCATCTTTACCAGCAACCTAAGCTCGGCTACTTCTTGGATCGTGAGAAGTGTTTTGATCGCCTGCCGTGGTCCATCTTGTACGCGCTGGAAGGTTCCACGGGCTTCCCCGCGCAGTGGTCTGATGCTGATCGACGGCTCAACTCCGGGCTGCGTACGGCCTTCCGCCTGGGACCCTTGGTTGGGCCTTTTTGGGCATCGACGAATGCTTTCCGCCAGGGCCTTGCTTCCAGCGTACGTCGGGTCTCGCTGCTGATGGGCATCTGGGTTCGGAGACAGGTTTCTCTGCTCCCCGCATCGTTCGTCGGCAACTTCTTTGATGACTGTCTGGTTGTCAACAGCTCTGCTGATGAGAGGCAGCGTTCCATGGATGAGAGTGATCGTTTCGATGTCTTGACGGGTCAGAAGATTGGTCACAGAAAGACGGTTGGCTTCGTGCTGCCTGATGGTGATGCTCCCTTGTTTTCTCGGGGCGTTGCACTCAAACAGGTCGCGTCTGACAAGCTCTTGGGGGTTTTGATTCCCGCCGACGGCCTTCGCGACTCCACGCTGCAGGACACTCGTGTGCTGGCTGCCGAAAAGTTCCTGCCGCCTATCCTCAAGCTCCCCATCTCTCTTGAGGAAAAGGCCAACCTGATCTCTTTGAAGACTGCCGGTGCGCGTTACGGGTTGGAAATCGAGGAGCCCTCGCCTGCATGTGCTCACAGTTTCGACCAACAAGTGTTGCAATGCTTGTGTGGCTACCGGGCTCATCGTTGCAAAGCCACTGCCATGTGTCTTGCGTGGAGGGGCCATCGCCTTTTCCTCGAAATGGCGGTGCCGTTTCAAGCTTTTGACACTGCTCAATGCCAGCTGCAGCGGTCATCTCAGATCCGGGAACTCTTTCTTGAGGTTTGGGAGTTCAGGGATGCTCATGGCCTCTGGGATGGCGCTGGCATCTTGAGTCACCTCGCGCGCCAGTGCAAGAAGTTCGGCTGGCAGTGGACTGAAGCCTTCGGCATTGAAGCCACGCATGGCCTCGACATTGATCTTCGCTGCCCTGTCCGTGGGTGGTACCAACATCGTCTGCGGATTGCCATTCGGCAGGCCTTGCTTTCCAGTGTGCCAGCACGCAAGGACCTGCACGGCATTCATGAGGGAGTTAACTACGAGCTCACTACCCGGCTCCTGTTGGGCCAGAGTCTTTCTTTGGAGCAGCGGTGCCGTCTTCGCTTCTTGTTTGAGGGCCGGGTTGCTACTGCTGAACGTGCTTCCAAACACTCTGGATGCTCGGCTATCTGCCCGAACTGCGACATCGATGTGACTGAAACCTCTCTGCATGTCTCTCAGGTGTGCCCTGCCTTTGCTGCCCAGCGGCAAGCCATGCTGGATGCTACGACTCAGGTGGAGCGTGACTCTTGGCCTGCCTGTTTCTGGAATGCTGGCATCGTGCCCCACGACCCGCTGCTTGCTGCCGCAAACCGTAAGCTTGGATGTTTTTCCTGCCATGATGGGCCGGCCCCTGATGGCCCCGTGTCTGCAAGCTCCGATGTTTGGCTACGTGACGGTCGTCTGGTTGTTGCCGGTGACGGCGCCTGCACCCATCAAGGCTTGGCCATCGCTCGGGCGGGTTGTGGCGCCTACTTTGGACCTGAACACAGACTCAACTTTGCCTTCGCGCTGGAGGGCCCGTTACAAGACTCTGACCGTGCAGAACTTCGCGCACTCCTTCGGGTCGCACGGTGGACCCCGTCTGCGACGGAGTACTTGACTGACAACGAGGCGGTGCTGCTTGGATTTGCAAAGCTCTTCGTGGGTCACTCCAAGCCTTGGAAAGACCACAACGACCTTTGGCTTGCGTTGGGTCAGGTTTTGCACTCCCGTGGCTGGGACTTGCTCCGAGTTTCCTTTGTCAAAGGGCACGCTACGGAGATGGACGTTGCTCTTGGCCGTGCCTCTCCGCGTGAGGCCTTGTGGAACGCACGGGCTGACAACCTTGCGGTGGCTGGGGCTGCCATTCACGCGATTCCCCAGGAACTTGTGCTGCGTTTTCAGAGGCAGGCTGCAGTCACTGCTTTGATGCAACGTACGCTGCTCAACATTCATGCGGAGAGGACGCGACTGTGGCAGTCCTCCCAGCATGCAGATCCTGATGGCCAGAATCCTGATGTTGATCGTGCTGCTGACCACCTCGAGGCCGATGAAGACGCTGCGAGGGCCCTGCAGGATGACCCTCCACGGCAGCTTGACGTCCAGCATGTGTTACAGAACCCTCAGACGGCTCTGCCACGCTACTGCTGGCTCAAGCCGGATGGTGGCGTCAGGTTTCGTCTGCAGCCTTTGCCTAGCCGAGTTGGCCCTGCGACCTTGCGTCAGGACCGCCACAAGGGTTGTTCTTCACATACTCCTTGGGCTTATGGTTATGGATTGATTGAACCCTTGTACTGGTTTTGGGCTAGTTTGCGGTGGGTCGATGAAGCAAATGCCAGCAGTGATGTGGTCGAGTCCATTTCCTTTTTGGAACTGGCGATTGCTTTTCAGTTACTCACCGGCGTGCTTGCCGCCGACCCAAAGCATGGAGCGACGCCCACCATGCAGCAGAGAGTGCACTGGTTTCGATCAGCTTCAAAGAGACTTGAGGTCATCATAGGTGGCCCCCTGGTGCCGGGTGAGTGGTTGCCTACGTCTGATGTCCTTAGGCGCCTTCGCTTTCAGCATGGCCCTGGAGTGTCTGGCCGCATAGTGCTCCC